GCCCACTTGCTGGACTAGTTTTCCCCACCAGTACCAGTACTCCTTTTGTAGGTTCCTAATTCCTTTCTTAAAAAAAGGATATTGAAATATTTTTTTAGTGGAGTTGAAAGGCTTGTAGTATTTTTGAGCTGATCAGACGTGCCAATCACCTTTTTAATTTTTTTAGTAGAATTAGTCAATATAAAAAGACTAAAAGATATAAAAAAAATATATAAGACCTCAATGGCTTGGAACCCACTTCAACAAATATTTTCAAATAAACAATTTATTACTAATAGTTCTTGTTCCATTAATTATTTTTTATTTATAAGAAAGATAAAAAAAGTTTTCTAATTCCAAATGGTAATTGTTTTTTATTACTAGCATAAATTAATATTTTTAATTAGTGGGTAAATCATCCTTTATAATTAGGACAAACAGTCTTACCGGTCCTAAGGAACCTGCTGTCTTGACACCGTTGGAAGAAAATACTTCTGAAAGTTCAGTGAACAGATCAGAAAGGTGAATTATAATGAAACACTTATTATTTGATACATAATTCTTTATTTATTTGCAGGCATTTTTTTTCTTTTGTTCCATGTTAAATCCTTAGCAATCTTTATTTAGAGTTACATGAGAAGGAAATAACAACATGATTAAAAGATTTTAATGAAAGAATAACATTTTCCTGAAAATAACATTTCAGGAATTGTTTTATTTTTATTTTGATGTGCTATACAATAAAAAAATATTATTTAGGGTTGCATTTTGATTCAATAATTAAGTAAATCATCATGATTGTTACAATACAATAAAGGTAAATTAAGAAATGATGAATATTAAATTTGAGACTATGAATGTGATTATGAAGGAAAAGAGAAATATGCTTTGAGAATTGATTGCATTTAAGATTCAATATAAAGTACGCATTGGATATCGGTTTAATTTTCTATATACTGGCTCAATATTTAGCAATAAATAACAATTTGCTATGGTTTTATCTTGAAGCATCACAAATCTGATTGGTTTTATATTTAATAATGAACAATGCTAAAAATTGATTATCATATTTACAAGATCGTGTTACAAAAAAAAAAGTGAACAGGTTTCCTAAAGGAACATCGTAGGAAAAATATGTTTATTTTATTTTTAAAATACTCTATTATTATATCTTTTGAGGAAGAAAGTGTAATTATATATTCAGTATTTACAAAACAGCACAAAGGGTGATGAATAAAAAATGTTGCAGTTGTGAATAGGATTTTAAGTGCAAACTTGAGGATTTCAATTTGTATGTTTATTATCAATTTTTTTCACTTATCTTGTATATAAAGAGCCAATTAACATAAATATATGATCAAACATATTTCCCCTTTGTGATTGTCACATCATTTGGCACAAAGAAAGAGAAAAAAAGATTAAATTTGAAACACACAATTCAAAATCTTCAAATTATGCTTAACCTCCTGTTTATTTTTTAGTAACAATCAAATAAACTCATGATAACTAATAAGTAATAGCATCATAGAAAACCTGATATTGTAATAGATATAGTAGAAATACCCATATTGATAAAAACTGTAACATCCCATAAAATATTCTTTCCCGCTGCCTACCCCTATGAATGAAAATCTCAATAGAACCTTGATAACCTAATGTATGATCCCTCATGTCAATGGAATCTGGAATAGCTCAGTAAATAATAATGTACATTATAAACGAAACTCATACAATACAATTTAAATAAACATCTTTGTGCAAACACAGGCGATTTATTGACAAATATTTGTTTCCGGAGAAACCAATCCTTTAATCCTTATCATTATTTTGTCATTTGCTAATTATATTTTGACATAATTTAATTTATTACCCAACTAAGCAAACACTGGATCAATTTTTAAGTTAGATGGCTCATTTTCTTTCAAGAAAACTGTATATGAAGCAATTGATTTTGAATGGAGATCAGGTTTCTTAAAACAATATTTGGTATTCCCATGTCAATTTTTAAAATGATTGTATTTTGAACTCATCAAAACAATTCATTTTCATTAAAATATGGTTTTACTCGTAATACATATTATATAATATCGTGTTAATTAGATCTTTGAAAATCAATATTTTTATAAAACCATAAGTTCACATAGTATAGAAAAGAGCAGATAACTAATAAGGTTATGAAACATTTTGTTTATCAATAATGTGTGAAGTGCAAAAGTTCCACACTGGATGCACATGTTAGACCCCAGTTAATAGCTGGCCTTAGAAATAAAGCTATTGTGAGGGAATTATTAAGAAGTCATGAAAACATGACTTTAGCGGAATGTGTGGAGCTTGCACAAACCATGGAAAAGACTAGCGAGGAGGGCGACCTCATCCAGGGTAAGAGAAGTTTGGCGGAGATAATGAGTAAACGGCAAAGCACTAAGAGAGACACAAGAAGAAATTGTCACAGATGTCGCTCAAGAGTGTCACATAGCGGAGGATTGCTCGATCAAAACAGCAATCTGTTTTTCGTGTAAGAGTGTGGGACACATAGATAGCACCTGTCGTAGCAGGTGAAAGGAGGCTGAGGCCAGGCAGATTGGGAACGATGAAGGGTCTTGGAGGGTGGCTATTCGCCTACTCAAATCCAAATAAATTCCGGAAGTATCTCCGAAACCTAAGTGCATTTTAGTAAAGTGTCTAATAAATGACAAACCAGTCACTTTTGAATATGACACAGGGTCTACAGCTTCGAGGATTTTGGAAAAATCATTAATAAGTCTGAACTAAAAACATAAATTTAGTTCTATCAATATATACAGGAGAAATCATAAAACCGAGGAGATTCGCTATGGTTACCTTCAATTATAATAACCCGACAGCTCAAGGGAACATATGTACTACCAACTGAAGGAAGGAACACAGCCTGTATTTAAACCCGTGAGTTTTAACATATGCTCTCAGAGAAAAGGTTGAAAAGGAAATAGAACACCTGGAAACGGAAGGGATGATTACAAAAACAAACTATTGTGAATGGGGAATGCCAATAGTACAGGTTGTTAAGCAGGACAGCACTATTCGCCTATGTGAGGACTACAAGATAACGGTGGACCACTTTGTTGAGAATTGAACTCTTCCGATTCCAAGGATGGAAGAGATATTTACGGGAATAAAAAAAAAAAGATCTTCACGACACTGGACATAAACCAGGCATATTTGAACATTGTGATGGATGAAGAAAGTTCGAGAATTCAGGCAATCTCAACTCTCAAGGGAGTCTACCTCATTAACAGCCTGATGTTTGGTGTAAAGATAACGCCAGCTATTTGGCAAAGGAGAATCTTGAGGAGTATTAAGGGTTTCTGAGCATTCTATGATGATATTATAATAGAAGGAAAGGATATGGAAGAGCACCTTTAGAGAGTAAAAACTGTGCTTAAACAGTTAGCCGAAAATAACTTAAGAATAAATTGGAAAAAGTATAAATTTTTGGAAAGGGAAGTAGACTACCTCGGATACAGATTCACAAAACGCCCAAAAAAAGTAGCAGCCATTAGAGATGATCCTCGGCCCAAAAACGTATTCTGGCTTAGAAGCTGGCTTGGATTGGTTAACTACTATGGAAAATTTATTAGGAATTTGGCCACAAAATTTGCTCTACTCTACCAATTGTTGACTAAGAATGCACGATCAAAACAGGCAGATCATGACTTCATGAGGATCAAGAAGGATATAATCGGTAAAGAAACATTGGCAACATATGATGAAGAATTGCAGCTTATTCTAGCAATGGATGCCAGTCCGGTGAGCCTAGGTGCCGTGCTCTCCCACCGATTACTGGATGGAACGGAACATCCAATATGCTTTGCTTCCAGACACTAGAGTAAAGCTGAGCAGAAGTACAGCCAGATTGATAAGGAAGCTACGGCTATTTATTGGGCTCTACATAAATTTTTCATCTACTGCTAGAAAATTCTTATTGGTCATGAGAGATGGCCAAGATGAGAGCACTTTATTTCACCTCAATTTGATTTCTCAGCTGCCAGTGATATTTGACGAGATCACGATGAAGAGTGAGTTGGATAAAAACTTAAACAGGGTATTGAAGGAACTCCTGGAAGGGAAAACCGTAAGTGATCATAAGTTCAAGCACTGCGCGAGAGAATTAACGGCTGATCAGAGCTGTCTATTCAGGGGTTGAAGAGTCGTGCTAAGAGTTCTTCAGAAAAGAGTGTTGACAGAGCTTCATTCTGCACATGTTGGAATGTCGAGGATGAAATCCTTAGCAAGAGGCTAAGTATGGTGGCCACGATTAGATTCGGAAATAGAAGAAATGGTACTGCAGGGCTGGTGCAGCACATCAGTCAGCACCAATGAAAGCTGAGTCTCATCCCTGGGAAGATCCACATTTGCCTTTTGAGAGGATCCACATCGATCATGCTGGACCGTTCCGAAACGAGTCTTTCTTCATCATTGTGGATGCGTTTTCCAAATAGTTGGAGGTATTCCTAGTGAGGCATATTAATACTCAGTCCACAGATCACTAATGATCTGTTACAAAAAACATTTGCCAGGTATGGACTTCCATCGACATTGGTAAGTGACAATGAAACCAATTTTACGTCAGGAGAGTTCAAGAGATTCTCGCAACACAATGGAATCTAACACCGAACAATAGCACCTTACCATCTGTCATCAAATGGACAAGCAGAACATTACGTGCAAACCCTTAAGAGATCGCTGAAGAAAATAATTTAATATATCAACAATCCTTGATAATAATTTTTAAAATTGCAGAAGTTCCATTTAATAAAATTACCTAAAAATGATTAATAAAATATTTTTAAGATAAAATACCTAACAAATTAATTCAACTTAGGATATTCCAATTTATTAAAAATATCTAGTTGTCGATAGTCTATTATGTTTAGAGTATATTATACTAAAAATAATTTATCTTAAGCTGAACTCGTTCTTTTCAATATTAGCAATAAAACAAAAGAAAACAAACAAAACAAAAAAAAAAAAGCTTAATGTACCCATTTTCTGTGTGTTCCCCTTTCCTGGAGTGTCTACAGTGGTACTAGTTAACTTAGATTCTAAGTTCGACTCACTCCCAGAGAGACTGGACTCCTCGTCAGGTATTATTGGTTCCTCCAGCTCTTCTTTTAACCTTTCTTCAATACACTGACAATATAAATTTTTGTTAGTAATATTATTCAAATAATTATTGTATTAATAATAACTATAATCATGATTAGAATTGTAAGTTTACATAGTTCAAATTATATGCTGAAGAGCCAATGAAGCTTTATACTAATTTTATATTGCAATCTTATAATTGTGTTATGTATGTTTTTTTTTCTTAACTTTATGTTTTAACTCACATTTTTAAAATCCAATACATACGAGTACATTTGTAGAAATGAAAATAAGCAAATTATATTTATATACTAACATACTGAATTCCTTATTAAATATTGTTATAATTTTCTATTTTCTAATTTTCATTATAAATTTCTATTTCTAAAAAATCTGCATTAAATATTAATTTGAAAAAATTCTTAAATTAAATTGTACAAACAAATGACTGATTTTTTTTCTTCAATCTTACAAATTTCAACTATTACTATTAGTATGAATCAAATAAAAGTGATAAGATGTTGCAATGTTTTTTCCAGGAATCTCAGTTTAAAAAATGGAAGTTTAACACTGATTAAGAAAAAAAACCTTTCTCTATAACGTGTCTTTAACCATAATGAACTTAAATTCAAACATGCATCAAACAAATAATTGAGATAAATCATTGTATATTTCGGAAAGGAAAATTAACACAGTAAACAATTATTCAAAATTTATCAATACTTATAAATAACGGAAAATATATAATGTAACATACATCTGGTTTCACGAGCGTGTTGCAAGGAGTCGGAGCAAGAGCAGCATTCCACACTTGCACCATAAGCTTGTATGTACTGTCCCTAGAAAGAAGAGAGCCAAAAACATGCTTGTCATCCTCAGTGGTGATACCTACAGCGTTTGGTATTATATATGCTGTTTTTTCTTTGGTTACTTTTAGCACTGTTGATGTCGGTATGAGGAGCTGAAATAAAAAAATTCAAAACATGAATATCAATACATAAAGTATATGTTTCTGAACAGTAGGAATAAAAGAAAAATAACGAGTATAATATAAAGCTATAACCGTCCATTTCACTTGATGCACATACATACAGAAGTTATTTTAAAAACATTTCATCATAACTTTAACTAATGATTATTCGACCTGGCAATAAACATATACAACTTAAAAAATTTGTTTTGAGCATCCCAAATATATGGTTGGTTAAGTATGGATCAATATCACTTTTAATCTTTATCTCATACAAATTGTTTATGGTCTTTTAATTATTGCAAAATTTATTTTTTTGTGAATCGAGTTGATGCTCTATTTTTTTTTAAAATGTTTTCTAAGTTGTTTAAATATTATTTTAATTTTATTTACAATATTTAAACACTTTCTGCCACAAAGAAAAACAAAAAATCAACAAAATAGTAAAAAAAACCTTAGTCATCATATATGCAAAAGTTGGTATTAATTTACAATTATATCTATTATTCCTCAACCACAGTAAGAAAAGAAAATACTTTACCAACAAATATTATTCAGTATTTGGATAAATGACAAAGAAAATTAGGACTTAATCCTTTCATGTTAAAAAAAAATATATCATAATTATGACTTTTATTAAAAATAGACTGAGGCCAAAAATAGTACAAATTTCAAAAATATTTTTTCCAGAACCAATTCTACCTTCTGAGTTTCCTAATTTCTTGTCACTACCCTCTCCTCACCGCTCTTATGGATTGTAACTTAAAAGCAAAGCAGATACCAATAAAGTAGCAGGACAGATAAAAATAGTTTTTATATCAAGTTAACGTTGAAACATGGCTTCACTTATGTAACCAGTATTACATTAATAATCTTAAATCACAGGGAGAAAAATACAAATATTCTTTAAACAACATTAGAAAATACTGTTTTTATAAACGCAGATTAAGTTTTCATAATGATATAAAATTAAACATTAAAAGCCTTTGGAGTTAAATTACACCATGCTAGCTAGTAGTGATTAAACAATGAATATACCAGGACATCAGATGAGAAAGTATTACAATAAAAAAAAAAAAAAAATCCATATTTACATCCTTACTTGGTATATAATTTGAACATTAGCTACAAGATTTAAAAATTAAATTTGGTTTTGTATAATTGAATTGAATTATCATTTGTATTTATGTAAATTGAATTGTATACCTTAAAAAAAAAAGAGTGACTTACATAAATTAAAATTTCTTCCAGTATAGGTTTCCTAAGGGAACATAATGGGCCAAATAGCTATGATATGGAATGTGGGCTACTGGAATACTTAAATTGCGCATGAAATATTTCTTTTGTTCTTCTATGGCTGAAAATTTAAATTGAGCAGATCTACTATTGTTTCAAAGTTGAAGATCGGTTAAAATCGTTCGCTTTCATATAGTAAAAAATTTAATATTTACTAAACACGCATTTTTAGAAATCAACTCCTTTAAGGTCTTGAATTAAAGAAACAAAGAAACATTCAGATAGAATTATAGTTCGATATGTTTCGGACAGCTACTTACACCATTTATTGTTTATAACCAGACTTGATAAATAACAACTATTTTTTTTTTCTTAACAGTGTAATGCATATTTGGCCCAAGACAATTAGGAAATAAACAATTGACCTAAAATGCACGCCTTTGTTTATTCGAAAATTTGGTTACCTTTCAACCACATTGATTCATCCTAATAATTAATTAACAATTATTTGTATTTAAAGCCTCTCGCGGGCTGATTACCGGGTATGGGGAGCGTCCTACGATGGCGGGATGGTCGGTGGGAATTCCTTGGAAGTTCCACTTATAGTCGGATGGACTCGCAGATCAACAATGAGAGAAGCCCTCAAGACTTGCTGGGGAGAAGGGGGAGGGTGACGTAGGATTGACCATCCTACTCACATACTCACATATCTTTAGTTCATCATACACCAGTAAAAGTCATAGATCTCCCAACGGGCGGATCTACGGGGGGGAGGGGGAGAGGACTTTGGGGCTGAAGCCCCCTCCAAAATGATAAGATATTACCATGTTTTATGGAAAAAAGATTAAAAAATTATCTCTTTAAGTATTATTGTTCGTGTGATTACATTTAAAAGGATTTTAGGAATCACTTAAACAACCTTTCATATAGGTAGTTAGTTTCTTTCTTTTTTTCCAAAGTAGTTATCGTTATTTTTATGAAAAAAAAAAAGCTTTCGGGCTGAGGCCCTCCCCCCAAAAATTAAATCCTGGATCCGCTAGTGGATCTCCCTAAGATAAAACCCTCATTATACGGAGTAAACTAGTCCCTAGCTCGAGTATCCGGGAGGAGACTGCTTATGGGGATTTATGGAGCAGAATGTGGGTTGGATCATGAATTAGTAATCGTAAAACTTCGACAAAAAATTAAGATAAAAAAGAGAAAAGAACACCGCCTCGATATAGAGAATTTTAATTTGGAAATTTTTTAAAAATCTATCAATTAGAACTCAATTAGAGGTAGAAGTTAAGAATGGATTTGAAGCCTTAGGATCTTCTGAAGAGGACATAGACAAGTTAGGGGGTGGGTTCAGAGAAAATATTAAAGCAGTCGGTAACTCGCGTCTTGGGAAAAAGGAAAATGAAAAGAACTAACTGTCGTTTGATGAAGATCGTTTAAACAAGTGTGATAAAAGCAAAGCTGCTAAATTAACAGCTCTAAATAATCCTAGCGAAGACAATCTGGAATATTTCCAAACCTCAAAGAATGAAACGACAAAATTGTTTAAAAATAAAAAAAAGGAGTATCTTAAAAATAAAATGATAGAAATAGAAACTAATAGAATCGAAAATAACGAAAAATACACGTACAAACCTTTGTTTATACCCTCCCGTCATGTCTGGAATTAGGGATAAAAATAACAATATTCTGACTGATCCGGTAGCCATATTAAATAAGTTTAAGAACCACTTTGACAATAATTTAAATATTTGAAATTATGATCAATGTCCTTCCGAGTCCCAGAGTGCTAAACCGTTGATAGAAGAACCGAGTAAAGAGGAGGTTGAAGTAGCTATCGGAAAAATTAAAATCTTTTAAAGCAGCGGAAACCGATAATATTTCCAATGAACTAATTAAGGCATGCGAGGAAGCTGAAGTTTCTAAAATACATTTGTTGGTTAAAAAGATCTGGAAGAATGAGAAATTACCTGAACAATGGAAATAATCTATTCGTATTTCAATTCATAAAAAGGGCTCGAAACGGATTGTAATAACTATCGAGGAATTTCACTCCTTCCGGTATGTTATAAAATATTCGCTTTAATCTTAACTAGTCGAATCACGGAATACGGCGAGGAAATTATCGGATTATAGATCGATCGGCGAACCGTTCGATTATTGATCATATCTTTTCTTCACGGCAAATATTGGAGAAAAATTAGAGCACAACGGCGTTGTTTATCAGCTGTTTGTCGATTTCAAAAAGGCTTACGATTCTATTGACCGCCAGAAACTGTATAATATTCTAATCGAGCAGGTGATTCCAAAAAATAAAAAATAAAAAAAAATAGTAAATCTAGTCAGGATGTGCTTGACGAAAAGACTTAATAAATTTAGAATCGGTAATTATTTATCCGAAAAGTTTGAGATTCGTTCGGACTTAAAACAAGGGGATTACCTTTCGACTGTCCTGTTCAATTTGGCTTTAGAACATGCCATTAGGGAGATAATGCGTACCGAAATAGGGTAGTATCTGGGTGAGATTACACCTGTGCTTGGCTATGAAGACACGGAAACTATAAAACTAAATATAACGTTAATGAAGGCCTGTAAAGAACAAGAGATCGAAATAAACACGAATAAGACAAAATATGTGGTTAGCTGAAAAAAATAGCTATATTGCCAGTGATATCGATATAGAAGATAATATATTTGATCTTGATTTGAGATAATATATGTAGAGAAGTTTAGGTATCTAGGGCCTACAATAACTAGAAAAAAAATTTGAAGAAGAGATGAACAAGGATAGGCTGAAGGCGAGAAATGCTTGTTATTTTCTGTGACAAAACTGTTTACCTCGAGCCTCTTATCCCGGAACTTAAAAACTAGAATCTATAAAACCATTATCTTGCCTGCAGTTCTTTATGAATGCAAAACGTGGCCGCTTGCATTAAGGGGTGAGCAATGTCTTAAGGTTATTGAAAATGAAGTATTGCGTAGAATATTCGGACCGAAGAAGGATGAGTTAATCGGACAGTTCAGATGGTTACACAACGCCGAATTGCGTGAACTGTATCTGCTTAATTGAGGTGATCAGATCGTGGCGAATCAAATGGGCTTGTAAAATCGTTCGGCTTAGTAACGAAAGAATTCCTAAAAGGTTATTATTTGCTGTACCGAATGGTAAACGCCCGAGGGGAGGACCGAAACGAATGTGGGAAGATTGCGTTACAGCCGATCTGAAGGGACTGGGTTTGGACGGTGAACGGTGGAGGAAAATGTGTAATAAGCGATTGATGGTGTCGGCATCGAACCTTTGGGTTACTTAAACCTTTTATTATTGTTTTCAAAGGAAGTTCAATCATCTTAGAAGTTGTTTCTGTTATGGAAGGATGCATCTAATAAACATGAAATCGCAGTGGATCAAAATGCGCATAATCAGTAACTTCCCCGTCAGGCTAGGAATATTGGGAAAGGAAGTGTTGTTTTACATGTATTACAAATTTTTGTAACAAGTGTAAATGAATAGTTTAGCGTATATATGAGAGGCAGACACAGATACACAGACAGACAGACAGACAGACAGACACACACAGACAGACAGACAGACACACAGACAGACACACAGACAGACAGACAGACACACAGACAGACAGACACAGACACACAGACAGACACAGACACAGACACACACACACAGACACACACACAAACACACACACACACGCAGTGCTGGCCTTTTGTCTTGCAATCCGGGCACTCTTCAGTGCTCCGTTGTTTATATCTTTATTCGATTATCAGATATTAATTAATAAAATTAGTACCAGGCAATTCTGACGTAAATTTTCATGACACGGTGTCATAAATCTCCCTCCTCACCTCCCAAAGATATTTTATTGCTCTCCTCTTCTTTAAATCAATGCTAAATTAGAATTTAAAAAGTCATAGATCATATACTATCACACTTTCAGTGGTGTTTATACTTTCATCTTGTCCCCTTATTTGAAACTTTTCATTTCGAAAAGTCATAACACAGTCGGATATGTTTCGGATATACGACCTTGGATATGTATTATGTTTTAATTTTGAAACTGATTAGTTATTAGTAGTTTGATTTTTCCATGCAAATTATTTTAAAAATAATTGTGTATAATTAAAGATATCATTTTCAGCTAGTAGATTCCAGCTCACCTTGGTCACATAGCCGAATACGTTGGAATAAAAAGCAAAGTAGTTCCGCGTAATATACAAGTGGCCCTGCAGTAAGATGTCCGCTACTAGGGCACAGGAGTAATCTGAAATACAAAAAAAAAATTGTTAAAATATATTTTAAAACAATAAATAAAATAGATAAATTTGATTATATAAACTAACCGATTTTCAGATACATGATTATTTTTTAATAACTTTATTCCCCCCTTCTCCTGAGGCGTCAGAAAAGAAGATGGCCCCGTGATCTCCTAATTAGTTTTGCCCAAATCCGAGACCGAGACGAGTCTTGGTCTTGCAAACTCAGTCTTGGTCATGGTCTTGGTCTTGCGCAAGAGTCTCGCAACAATCTTGAAGTTAGTTATTAGCTTATTACTGTAGAGATATTACTCTATTTTTTTAGATAAGAGAAACCTAACTAAGCCCGAATGGAAAATAGAGGAGTTAAAAGAAAAAGTATATTGGTTATACCAATTCTTTACATATCGTAACTAAAATTGTCAAGTATCAGTAACTATTTGGCCTAAATATTTATTCAAAAAATCGATTTTTTTTTTAACTGAAATTTCTGTACCTCCCATTCAACAAAGTTGGTTTGAGCTACAGTTAGAGTCTGCACACACTCGATTAAACACTGATTACAAATTCTTATTCATTACTTCCTCAACATTTCGCGTGAAAAACTTTTTGAGAAAATATGGGTAAGTGATATATAAAAGTTAAATAAACTACGTGAAAGTCAAGTACACAGGGGTATCGGATATCTATAAACGGAGATGATCGGCAAAGGTCGGGCGCTCTCGGCTCTTTCCGTAAAGCTTCAAACCCTTATTTCCCCTTTTAAATTAATTTGAATCAATTTTCTTCATTCATTATATTTAACCATTTTTTATATAGATTTCTAATGTGAAATGGTTAATTACTTCAAATAAAATGTACTTTAGAGGAAAAAATTAGGCATTTTTACTATTAGAGAACATCAATAAGAATGAGACTTACATCATATCAAAAACAGCATAACTTTACCCTGTCATAATGAATTTAATCAAAATCGTTAGAGGCGTTTTTGAGAAAATTGTAAACATGTGTAAAATCGATGAAATAAAGTGGCACTTCAGGTAAGCCGAGTTTGACGAAAACGTTGTAACACTCCAGGTATCTACAAATCCTAAATAAGTAAATTCAGTTGCGTACAACTTTTCGTTTTTGAGCTAGACTGATCACATTTCACACCGAACATTGTGCGGGACTTGGTTATTTATACTCAGGTGACCTCAAAACATTTATTTCTGTTTAAAACTCAAATTATAACATTTTCACGATTGCAATACATTCCCTAACGATACATACTTTCCCATAGGTAAGTGAAACGGGTCAGTCAATATCTCATGACATGAAGACAAGGAGATTAAGATGGGCAGGGCATGTAGCTCATTGCAATCCATCAGGACGCCTTTACACGACACTGAATGTCAGAGTCGTAGGCAAGAGACCACGTGGGAGGCCAAAAACCACATAGATAGATAGGATAAACAAAGATACGGCTGAGCTTCATGCCGCAAACTGGAAAGCAGTAGCCCGAGATAGGCAGAGATGGAGAAGTCTGGTTCTGGCGGCCAAAGATCAACAAGGTCTCTAGAGCCAACCAAAAAAAGAAAAAGAAAAAGTGAAAGTAAAAGCTCTATAACATTAACTATCGAAGAAAGTTTGTACTTAACTGGGCAGCAATCAGGAATACAGAATTTTCATTTAAATTAGGAAGATAATTCAATCTATTTTCCGGAGCATTTAATAAATAACTATGAAAAACAAATAAACATTTTAAAATACATAAATGATGGTTTAAACAACAGGAGTCTTCGCAACCTTGAATGATTAATCGCAAACATTATGCCAAGAATAGGAATAAATTATTTTTGCTCCCCACTAATGACGACTTATTTGTCGAGCAAGTTGTTAAATATTATTATTGTCACTTTTAAAAGTATTAAACAATATCTTTCCGAAGTCGTGAGTTAAATTTATAAAAGGTTTTAAAGCCATTTTCTTTCCTCAGTTTTCAGATTATTTTAAGCCAAAATGTACAAGAATGTCGAATCCAAAAAAGAAATCATAATATACAAATTACAACACATCCATTTTATAATGTACTATGTACATATACATATTCTTGACCTTGATTTCTGAGTAGTACTCACAAATGGATCATGTAAACATACCTGACATATGCATATAAAGAATTAGAAAAAAAAAATTGTATCACTACAACCGATGAAGGGTCTTGGGTTCAGTACTATTTAGGGAAAGCACTGTTTCTAGGTCAACGGTTGTTCAAGGAGGTGATTTGACCGAGATCACGCTCAACCGCCAAATTTTCCCCCTTAATTAATTATTAAATTAAGGGTACCCATTTTATAGAGGCTGGGTGTGCCCCAGGAGGATCTCCTGACCCAGGGTCGCCCCACGGCCAATGAAACAAATAAATAAATTTTCTGCCATGAGCCGGGGCCCGAACCTGAGACCTTTAACATTGGAACCTCAGCACCCTGCCACTAAGCTACCCCACTCCCATATAATGAATTCAGTATTAATTGAAAAATCGTTTAAGTTAATTGAAATTTTATTATCAGTTTTGGTTTTTCTTTGAAGGCACTCTGAGCTGGGCATCTCTGCCCTTTGAAGTAAGAAAAAAATATCTGCAGAGTTCGAAATTGTAAGGAACTGCTATCTCTGTGGTTTGTTTTTATTTTCTTTCTCCATTCTAAAGATAGCGTTCCAGTTTGCGAAGAAATAAACATCCACATTTCCGAAAGGAAGTGTTTGTCAAATAAATTCAGATTAGGCGCTGTTCTTCTTCAAGTTTTTAGTTGTATCGAACTTCTAATCATACTCGGAAGTAATCAATTGTTGGCTAATAATAAAATGAAAAGATAGTTGCTGAATATGCGTAATCAAATAAAATAAAAACAACTTTTATATATTGAAGTGACGTTTTCTATTCTTAGGAATCTCTTTCTTTGCCCCCTAAAGCTATTCATCCTTCTGAAGTGAAATTTCAATTACACAAACTAATCCCCCGTAAAGATCCTGGATATGATCTCCCCCCTCAGATCCTTCGACAACTTCCATCCAAAGCAGTCATATTCCTTACATATATCTACAATTGCATCCTACATACCACCCACTTTCCTCTGTTATGGAAACACTCCACTATTATCCTTTTCCCAAAACCAGGCAAACCTCCCAATAGTTCAACATCCTATAGACCAATTAGCGTACTCCCAATCTTTTCAATTTTTTTTTTAAAGTACAAGTCCAAATAAAAAGTAAACTCGCAGTTTTTTAAAACAATATTGATCACTTCTAAAAATATATCATCCAACATCTTAAAACAGTTTACTTTTCACCGTCAGTATTTTATAGCCTTTTAAAAGTCGCTTTATATGGAGGCTTTGTTGAAATAAACTTGTTCTTTCGACACGTGACTTGTAGTTGAGCAATTTCTAACATATATAATATTACAAGTAAAGCACAAATTGAAAATTCGAATTTAAGAAAACTGTTCATCAATTTGGTTTTAAAAGCAGAAAAAATAATATAATAAATATATATATATACATATATATTCATACGGAGGTTATATTTGCTAACTAAACTATTAAAACGGTGGCAGATTGTTTTATTATTCAATAAATAAAAAAAGTTGATAATATTGAAATAGGAAAATTACAATATATTCATTAATTCAATGAATTTCATGAATTTATACAGAACACCTACGACATATGAGAAAAGACATATTCCTAATAGTGGTGTCTTCTGTATAACGTTGATAGACAGAACCCAATTCATTCCAATTTTTGAATTCGGGACCCAAATCGAGCACTCCCATATTGAGTTAGTGTTAGAGAAGTACCTTTAGTGATCATTTAACATTTTTTCCCGCTACCACCTAAAGTACTCCTCTTCATCCCCTCAAAATAGAGTAAAATGATTAAACATTTGTGAATTAACTGTTTTTTTTGTTTTTTTTAATTTTTTCATTGAGAAATCTGTATCGGGCATTTATGATAGAGTTCAGAGAGCATGAGAGCACATTCATACCATATTGACAGAAACAAAACTATATAAAGTAATAGAAACATGATACACAGAAATAAGAAAAAAATAAAATGTACTTTAAAAGCTAAAATAAACATCTCGGACTCAGGCAATATATTAGTAACTTTGATAGTGATAAAGAAGTTTTTTTTGTGAGACCATGTTTTTTCCTCCTATCTTTACCATTTTGATAAATTAAATTCAGAGACATGTTATACATTGTTCAAAAATAAAAAGTGAAAAGAAATTAAGCAAGTTAATTATGAAACAATTAAATGACCTTTCATTTTATTTCAATACGAAAAAGAAAACACAAAATATGGATAACACGACCTCAGTGACGTATGTTTGTTGCTAATGGTTTTTCCTCTCATCTATATAGCAAGAAGGTAGGTTCGAATTGTTTTAGAAGCACTCTGGTTAAAACTCTAGTCGGTTCCCAGATAAAAGCTGAGTAAATCTTACATCCGAAATACTTGGAAAGGAAAAAATAGATACAAAATGGCGTGAAATACGGATATTGTTAAGGTCAGATATTGTATAACATGACCAAGGAAACACGCAACTGAAACACATCTCTAGCACCTTAGATATGTGTTTCATAAAATATTTCAATGAAAAAGATATTAAATAATAAATAAAATCCTTATTTTAAATTATCCGTATGGGAGAATCAATAACACCCGGTTGAATTGATTGACGTCATGTAGTTAATTAACACAAAGCAAACAAAATCAAACCGAAATTAAACTGGATCATTACGTACACAGCGTATTGTCATACCTGGCAATATTTAGTTCTTGGAAAGATTAAAGTAAAAACCGATACCAGAGCCATGTTCTTTTCTCATATATATGAAAAAATATATATATTGAGAGGCCAAGTGGCTATGAATAGGTAAACATAATCCAAATTCTGATGCAAAACTAAAGATTTTTTATTTTTTATTTTAAATGTTGTCGAACGAAACCTCAACACTTTCTTAAGGCGCCAGCAGAAAAGTACAGTTAGGATTGGGCCGCCGAAATGAGCGGGATTCAACACGTAACGTGCCAGCCTTCGACCAGGAAGTTATTCGAGGGTCACACTGAATAAGAATTCCAATTCTGAATGAGCATTAAAGTTCAATGAATGAATCAGTCTCTTACTATTGTAATTTTTAGCGCTCTTAATATGTTTTTTTGCTCTTAATATAAGAGAGCCAGTGTGAGAATAATGTGCATCTACATTTTCAAGCGCATTATAATGCAAGAGAACGCTGTCCACTCGGTTTAGCAGTACATTTATTACTTTGTTTTTATGAGGGAATATTTTTAAATACATAGAAGCAAGGGTGCCCATTTCCCCCAAGGTCGAAGACGCAAGAATCCACTCCTCCCTTCCCCCCCTCTTCTCACTCCCAAGATATTTCATTGCTCATAATTTCTTAAAAACAGCAAGCGAATCGTAGAATAATACGAAAAAAATCTTAGATCATACACAAGTACACTTGCTGCGTTCTGTTCCATATTTTCTCCTTGTCCCTTAAGATAAAACTTTTCATTCCGAAAATTCATAACCCTGTCAAAATGTGCCCCTCTCAAAAATTTTGATGGCGCAAGTTGCGCCTTGAAAGTGAAATTCTCTTCTGGGCACACCTGCATAGATATTAGTTTATGAATATTAGAGTGAAGAATGAATAGAAGAAATCAAAAAAGTAAGTTGAAGCGGAAATCTGATGCCCCCAAAATATTGGAGTATCTTTTTTTTTTTTCTCCTCGCCTTTAATGCAATACGTGTTTTTTTCTTAGGCAGGAGTTAAAAGTCTCCCAGGTTCCAGGAGTTGTAATATTTGATTTATCAGGTTGTCGAGCAACGTGTATTTCACTCACACACGCGTTAACCCAATCAGCACCTTAGTGCCCTATGGAGTATCTTACAAATTAAGGTTATTGTCAAGTCATTTAGTTTAGTTTAGTTCAAAATATTTTATTAAGTAATCCAAGTCCTTTTAAACTGAAAACGGTCACAACCATGACAATGAGCAAAATAGGTTAAAGTCACATTATTGCAAGATCATCTTCTGTCCTAGTAGTCCATGAATTCGCGTTACCTTAATCCGTTGTTTACTGTCATAGTTATTTACTTGAATGATTTATGTAAAAACACATTTTATTTTTACAAAGTAATTTGCAATTAGTAAAATATTTAGTCTCTTGAATACTATCTCTAAACTCGTCTGGATCGAAAATATGGTTTCGTGGTGGCAGGGGTTGATAACCTCGTTAATCTGACCTGTTAGGGGTGAAGGTCAGACGAAACAGGATAATATTTTTGCAGGCCACCTGTGCGTGCTCCCACCCTTAGCATGCTAAAATAACGAGGTCACGTAGCCCAAATATTCTTGTAAGCAAGCTTTTTTTGAGATAAAATTATTTTATGATTTCTTGCCCGGTTCTCCTCCAAGGTCGATGGCGCAAGAAGCTAACCCCCCCTCCTCCCAAGATATTTTATTGCTCACCTTTCTTAAAAAGAGAGCAAGCTAAGGTAGAATTAGAAAAATCGTAAATCATGTATAAATACACTTGCTGAGGTAAGTTCCAGGTATTACCCTTGTCTATTAGTTTGAAAATTCATAACACTGTCGAAATTTACCCCCTCTCCCTCCAACAAAATTCAAAAACTCGTCAAAATATGCCCTCCCAAAAATTTTGACTAGCGCCATGAAACACTCTTCTGGGCACCCCTGAGTTCAGCTTCAGTGTTCATGTTGCAAATTTGTCTCCATTTTAGTTTTTTAAAATGCATCTAAAAGTCTTTTTAGTATTCTTTAATAGTATCTGAAATTGTGAAAATATAATAGAATGATGATTATACTATTTTCGGCAATGTTTTTGAAAGGAATGCCTGGATTCTAGATGTTTGAGGTTTAAGCGAGAACACCAAAACACTGACTATCTTATATGTCCTTAACGGTTTTGTTAAATGTCTGTAGATTACAACTATGTTTGTTGAGGATAATTTGCTGATTTAGGGATTTGTTGGAAATCTTTCAATAAAAAAAAAACCGTTAGGAAGTATTGGTTGAGAAGAAATTTACATGATTTCTCGCTTAAAGTATTAGAGTACCCACTTTATAGAGGCTGGATGTAACACAGGATGGTCTCTCGACCCAGAGTCGATTTATGGCTGATGTAACAAAATAAATCATTACCTACAACAGCACATGAACCCGGGACCTTGAAAATAGAGGAGTCTCGTTTTACTTACTGAGCTACCCTTCTCCCCAACGTGTCTTCCAAAAATAATGTTTAAATTATTTTAGTGACATTTTTCTTTTTCTATTTCCCCATTTACTCCACCGGCTTTAGCACCAGTGAGGCGGTCGAGAGAGTAGCGCAGGGATTTGGGTTCCCCGCCTGATTGTATATATTGTATATAGGTATGTCTGTATTTTTATATTTTTAATTTACTTATATTTAGGTTACTTTATTTTTTATTGTATACAGTTTTTATTTATTATTATTTAGTTATTATTTTACTTTTGTTTATTTTATTTTATTTTTGTATATACGGTGTGAATGTGTTCATTTATCAATATAATTATTGTCCCCGTGACAGAATATTATATGTCTAAATAAATAAATAAAAAAAAATCCTCATTAATTATATAAAAACATGTAAATATATAGAATATATACTAACAGTTAAGGACTTTCTCGTCAGGTGGTACGGTCTTAAAATGGCGATGGAACTTCTTCTGCCTGGCTTTACTGCTGCCAGGAGACGATATCAGGATCTCCTGCGCAGCAGCGGAGGCGCACTCCTGGGCGGAGGCTTCAGGGACCATCTCTACCCTGCAAAAGAAATAAATAACTAGTTGAAGAATCAAAAAGCAAAATATATAAATTGAAGTTGAAAATTCGATCAATACAAGTTACCAAACTGCATATTATCATGTTAAACTTCTTGATTGCATTGGGATGAGTATCTATGCCTGAACATTTTAAGTTACTATATTTATATGTTTCCTATATAAGCGGTATAGGCCCATTTTTATCAAATTATTAACATCCGTCTAGAACTTCGCGAATGGCTTTATCTTATCGTAACCTACACATTTTTAATTTTAAATCTGGAGATCCTTAAACTGCTATATAATGAGGTATCGTACTAAAACCTCATGAACACCTACTCATTTACTTTCCACTTGAATCTTCAGATAGTTTGATTACAAAATCGAAAAAAAATATGGCCAACAATAATATTGGGCCCTTTTGGCTTGATAACCTCGTTAATCTGACCTGTTAGGGGTGAAGGTCAGGCCAAACAGCCTAATATTTTTGCAGGCCACCTGTGCGTGCTCCCACCCCTAACATGCTAAAATAACGAGGTTACGTAGCCCAATATTCTTGTAAGCAAGCTTTTTTTGTGATAAAATTATTATATGATTTCTGATTTCAAATTAAATAATTTAATGAGAAAACGCCCCATTTCTGAGAAATTTCTTAAATAAAAACGTTATAAGTCACGGTAAGATGAAGTGATTTACGAAGGTTTACACAGATGTTAAAAGTTAGCTGATAACGTAATAGTCAGTTGTGCTCTAATAATCAAAGAACCGAGGCTTAATAAATGACACCTTACGTAAATCCGTGAAAAATGTATTCAATCATTAATGAATCATACTTGTATTCCTTCCGGAAAAACCCGCGGTTGAATTCTAAACAATGTTACGCAATTGTAAAGTATAAATAAATATTTATAATGTGTTTCTTAATTAATAAGTTTAAGTAAGAACAATAGACAAAGTGCGTAGTGAATCCACTCTTAGAACTTTTTTTACTGCAGTGGATACAAAGTCCAATAAAAAAAATTACATTGTCTTCTCGCTAATGGGTCATTCTTATACTATTTGACAATTTAATGTACCTTTATCGCTTTACTTTAGTTTTTCATATGTTTATTCAGGTTGAAAAAATTAAAGGAATAGTATTAATTTCACTTTCACTTACCTATAAATGCAATATATAGTAAGGGTAAGTATTGCGATCGTGAAAATGTTCGAGTCTGAGTTTTCAACGGAAATGCATGTTTTGAGGTCTCCTGAGTCCTGTATTATTTAATAACCAAGTCCTGCTAAATGGTGTTTGTGTGTATTTTATCAGTCTAGCTCAAAAACAAGTCGTATGAAAGTGAAATTGCATATTTAAGGTTTTTACAAGCCTTCGATTTAACAGCAACATTTTGGCTAACCGTAAGCGGTACTTTCGATTTTACAAATGTTTACGATTTTCTCAAAAACAGCTCTAACGATTTTGATTTAACTCAGCATATCGGTGTATTACTAAGCAGTTTTAAATATAATGTAGGTTTTATTCTCATCGATGTTGTCTATCAGGACTTAAATGGCTAATTTTCAATATTGGCTTTCTCTAAAGAACCTTTATTTTTTTTATTTGAAATAAGTAGCCATTTCACATTAATCTTTGATATAAAAGATAACTAAATATAAAATATGAAAGAATTTGATAATTAACTAAAGGAGAAATAAGAGATCGTAACGTATAATAATTGTAATAGAAGCATCAAAGGAATACGAGCTTGCCCGAAACCGCCCGAAAGATAACAACAGGCTTCCATACGTAACATGAGCTTCATATAATACGACATAATGTTCATATACATATGCGGTTTTCATAAATGCTATCGTTGGTATTATTTAATATTTAATTGTCTAGAATACAGTGATATAAAAATTAAAATTTGTATATATAAGGGTATTTAAACAAATAAAAATAACCACAATGAATTGTAAATAAATAGTGTCAATAATTTTTACTTTCACTTCCCCATTGTCTGAAAATACTTATTTCTGCTAAGAGGGTGGTAAGTGTAAGTCGTGTGATGCGCGCACCAGATTTTTTTGTATTGTTTTTAAGAAATGGAATGGTGACATTAAATAAATCTACCTCAACCGCAATGTGAATTTAGAAAAACGTAACGTATGTTACTATCTCCAAACTGAGTATCAGAAGTTCTGCATGCTTCGATATGAATCAATCTGTATGGATTAATTATTAACCAAAGGGAATTTCACTGTTACATGACGGTATTTTGAATTAAGGATATCTTTTTTACTTATCTCAAATACTTTGATGGTGAGGTAGGAAAATAGTTTTGTCTCCAAAATATGGTGAAAAACATCTCTTAACGCACGTTACCGGCTTTTCTTACTACACGGCTCATTTAATATGAAGGAAAAGGGTTTTAAATTATCTGTCTGTGGTACTATGCATTTTTTTCTTCCAAAACATGCTATGTCACAAACATTATGCGTAACGAATCTTGCCATTATTTTAGTTAATATTCTACAATAAACATTATTAATGATAATTATAAAATAAGTAGCTTCGGGACATTTATTTAGAGCTAAGGTTTCATATCTGAAACCTCTTACTAAAAACGTTTTCGGCAAATGTGCAGATGCTATTGCGAGCAGAATGACCAATTTGGTATAGACATCGAAGACCGCCAGTCTACAAGACAATAGGTCCACCCTTTGAAGATATAATCGTGAGAGATAAACAAAAAATAGCTTTTTTTTCTACTCAGAGGATTCTAAAGCTTAAAGAATACTCGAAAATAGCACATCAAAAATTTGACCAGACCAAAATAGTTTTTTTACTTAATATTTAGCGATGAAGATGTGTACATAAGTAGAGGAGGGAAATCATATACAACTCTATTACTGGAATATTCCCATGAAGCGAAAAATAAATAACTTCGAATATTATATTTACTAAGGCTCTGAACCTCGCCACGTGTGGTATTGGACCAATAACAACACATTCATCGATAACACAGCATATAACATTATACATAGATTTATTTTTAAATCATAATTTTAAAACCAACATAAAAACCAACCTCAAGGATGTTCATCAAATTTATGTGGTGGATTACATACCATTGACGAATAAATATGTAATGAGCTGAGGTTTCAGAGAATTTATATATATATATATATATATACATATATATACATGTATGTATATATATACCTCATCAATATATATATATCGAATTACTTATGTTAGGAGTAATAATTTTATCCTAAGCCAATATTATAACTAAAAAAATATTATGAAGCACCTGAGGATGAGCAGTAAGGAATTAGAAAGCACAAATAACAACAGGTAACAAATAATTTATATAATAACAGGTGATGATATAATTCTCTTCAGTGGCTGAACATTCGCATAATACCAACCTTAGGAGCGGCCATTAGTGAATGACGCCGAGGAAAATTACTACTTATTTTCACTAATTGTTAAAAGATACAAGATCACTAAAAGGACTAGTTTGTTATGTTCTCATAAATAAAAGGATAAAGCGATCGGTTTCCTCTAAATGAATAATTCCATATCGACAGAACGAGAAAAAACTACTAATTGTAAGTCAGAACGACTCGTAAGTTTGTTAATTATAACAATCGGAACGGCAGATTTCAGTGAATAACTAAAATATTGCGCCATTTCGTTCTCTTGTTTTCCTTCTAGCGCTATGAAAGTCGCGACAAATGGAGCTCCACCAATCAGCGACAAAAACATAAAATGTGTCGTCGGTTTATTGCAAAAGGCCATTAGAGGAAATGCACCAGCAGCTAACATGAAAAAAAATCATTGAACTTTTACGAGTAAAAACTTAAATATTGATGCCATTATATTTTTCATGCATTCATCTTAAAGAATTATTTCTCGCCTTACAAAGACATATTTCAAATACATGAAAAATTTATCTATATTTAAAAAAAATGAAAATCAAGAGAATAGTTTTGTTGTACCAGAAGCTGACAGTATTTGATTTGAAATGTTCCTATAGCTGACAGAGATGAGAAAAAGGATATAAATAAGGAAAATTTCATATTCTTCTTTTTAAGATTAACAAAAATTACCAGTAAATGCTGGGCGCTGTTAAGAGCCTGTTTTTGGCTATATGGAAACATATTTTTGCTTTATGCTTAAGTTCAAATCATTAACATTTTTTTTTAACGAGACAGTAGTGAATCGTCCCATTTTTAAGACCCAGTATATCTCTATACTGGGTATACCTATCCCAGTATATCTCTATATCCAGTATATCAGTATTCAGTATATCTCTTTGAATTTATGAGAGTACAGGCCTGTCAAATACTGGCAAAAGTCCCCATTAAAAGGCTCCAGTAGCTGACACCCATTAAATATCCAATTCCTTCATCAAGATCAGTTCAAACCTAATTTAAAAACACTTCAAAAACCAATCAAAGAAAAGTATTCGAACGAACCTGAGTATTTAATTAGAAAAAATAAACCTAAGGTAGTATGGTGCTCTTACTACCAGATGTTTGTTCCTGGGACACTAAGTGGATGGTGAGGGACTTTTCTAATTTTCCATTCATTATTTCGGTTGCGATTTCCGATAAGACTAAAGAAAAGTAGACAAATATACAAAAGGAGAAAATATTTGAATTAGAGGTCTAGGAGGTCCTGACATTTTATTATTCCCATTTTTCGAGGAGGATGTCAGGTATTGGTACACAATAGCTGACTATTGGTGCTTTTACCCTAAGTACATTTTAAATTGAATTTCAATACGTTTTTGTGAATTCCAACCTTATTTAATCATTTTCATTAATGATAAAATTAATAAAATTTAATCATAGATGAAAAATGCAATATACTATAAAAATGTTTCAATTAAACAAAAACAAAAACAAAAAATACACTAAATTAAGTGCAAAATGTTCTGATTTCATAGAGAGCAAATTTATCAAAATGCTTAGTGATTTAATTTTAGGAAATGTAACTTGATGATT